GTCTGAGCACGGCAGTTTCCAAGGTATCTTATCTTGGGGAGTGTCAGGCTCAGGAGAAAAGCTGCTGGATAACCACAGCTCTTCCTGCTCCTTGGGATCTGTGTGCAGGGATTTCATACCTTGGCTGGGAGTTGCAGGAAATGCATCTCATCCCACTGGAAAACTGACTTGGAAGAAGATCAGGCTCTCTGTAGCAATTAATAAATCAGTCTTACCTTTTTTTTTTTTTTTTCTCTTCTTTTAAATATGTTTGAATATCCATTTCTGCATCTAGGAAGCTCTAGTCATGCTCACCTCATTTGTATTCGTTGCTGCTGTTGAATATGGATGTGAATTATGGAGATCATTCATTCAGTTCTCCCAGCAAGTTGTGCCTCATAAGATTTCCCTGCTTTGTGACTTGCCTGGGGCTGAGGGAATAATTCCTTATCTCTGTTCCCCAGGAGCTCTTTGGCTGCTTATCAGGGGGCTGGGAATCCCCTGCTCCCTCAGTTCTAAGGGCTGTGGGCACAGCTCCTGCAGTTCCTTGGGAGCTGATTTTTTGGGAAAAACCTTCAGTTTGTGCTGCCCTGAAGAGGCTTTGCTGGTAGCAAAGCTGCAAAAGTAGCACTGGAGAACAAACCTTGAGGAAAAACACAACCCCTGGGACATGAGAGTACCCAGCAATATGTGACTGGACTGGGGAGTCACAGAATCCCAGGGTGGTTTGGGTTGGATGGACCTTAAATCCCATTTTATCCCACCTCTGCCATGGCAGGGACCCTTCCATTGTCCCAGGCTGCTCCAAGCCTGTCCCTGTTCCAGAGATCCAGGGACAGCCACAAAGTTTCCATTCTGATCCAGGAAACTTGGGTTTGATGGTTTGGACGGGTTCATTTTTATGGTCTGAAAAAAAAAAGAAAAGACAGAGAAACGTGTAGAACTGATAAAATGTCTCTGAAACAAGAGAAATGTGGGTGTTCAGCTGCAACAGGATATCTGGAAACTCCCACTGTAAATCAGGATGGAATTGGTGCCCCGGGGCTTTAAAGGATTTTGGTCTGGATAAAGCTTGAAGTCAAATTTAAGAAAGAAAAACCTTTCCCAAGGGGAGTGGGCTACCAGTAGGCAGTGGGGTTATTTAAATATGCAATTATTCCGCATATAAAAGCTTCTGCAATATTCCAAAAAGCTTTGTGAAATAAGAACTATCAAAGAAATAGTAATTAAAATCTCTGTGTCACTCAAGTTTATTAAACTGGTGCCATTGAGGTCAGGAAAAGAGGGAGGCAGGAAAAAAAATCATGCTGCAATAAATACATATTTATAATCCTGAGTGCATATCTGGTGTTATCCAGGTCCTGGCTGTTCCAGTTGGAAAAGCTGGGTCTGTCCATGATAAATTAGCTTGTTTATTCCTACCCTGCAGTCGCTTAGGGTAATGAAGCAGAAGCCCTTTGTGTGTGCTCGCTGGGAAGTGCTGGCTGGCTCCGAAGGGGGTAATTGAGTAGAAAAGCAGAATGCTCCCGGTGCCGGGAGAAGTTAAATCCCCCCGAGGTCAGGGGGATTCAGCCTTTAATCAGTGTGGACACAATGCAATTGAGAGTTTCCAAAGGGCTTGTTTATGGTGCTGGAGCAAGGGTCGGTGGTTAATGGGAGCGCTGGAGGTGCTGGGATGAGAAGGTGCAGGATGTGATGCCCAAGGTGAGGGCTGAGAGAGGGTGGAACTCCTGGAACTGGAGGGCAGGAGGAAGGAGGTGTTTGAAGCTTCGACACAGGAGCTTTTTGAAGAGCTGCTGAATTTATTGAAATTAAAATATTGAGTGATGGCTCTTACCCAAACCTAGGTGTATGTAATATACCCCCAAAAAAAGCTCACTTGTCTCAGTAATTTTTTTTTTTTTTTAACCCAGATTTAAATCTAAAACCAGAGAAGCAGTGTGGGTTTCTTTCTTTGAGGACTACCTCCTGAGGGAAGTCCCTTGGACCTTGTTTTCTGCTGTCCTGGTGGGATCAGGCCCTGAGCACCCTGCCCTGACCTTCTGGCTGAATGGAAAGGATGAAATCCTGTGCAGGAGTTGTTTCAGTAGTGAGACACGGCTGAGGTGGCCCTGGCAGTCCATGGGAAGCCCTCCCTGGGCAGTGGTGGCCACGCTGGTGAAGGTATCCAGCTTTCCAAGTATTTACTAGCTAAAACCATCATGGGGAGCAGCAGGATCTGCTCTGCCCCTGTAATTTGTGATAGGCTTGGGATTTCTGCAGTGAGCTGGGTACCTTTGGAGGCCCAGCTGGAGGAGATGCAGAGGCAGAAATCTAGGGGAAATTTAGATAAATAGATATTGGGAAGGAATTGTTCCCTGTGAAGGTGGGCAGGCCCTGGCACAGGGTGCCCAGAGCAACTGTGGCTGCCCCTGGATCCCTGGCAGTGCCCAAGGCCAGGCTGGACACTGGGGCTTGGAGCACCCTGGGATAGTGCAAGGTGTCCCTGCCATGGCAAGACTTTGAAATGAGACAAACTTTAAGGTCTTTTTCAGTCTGTGATCCTGCTGGTAGCTCCAGCACCTCCTGCCCATGGCTTTTGGCACTTGGCACTGCTGGTGTCCAGCCCCCTGGCAGGAGGGGTCTCTGTCCCATGGCTGCTGCCAGCCCCTGGGGCCAGGACTCCCTCCTGGGGGCTCCTGGCTGAGCTGGCTCCCAGAGAGCTGCTCTCCCCTGGCTCCTGCCAAACCTGCCTCTGGAAGCTCTGCTCCCCTCCTACTCCAAGTGGTACCTGCACTCCTGCAGCTCTCATGGCAGCGAGCAGCCCGAGGCTGATGCACTGTGCTGTGCACACAGAGCTGTTCAATTATTCAATTATTTACAGGCTGACAGAGATCCTGGGATCTGTGGGGCTGCTGCACCCCCCGGGCTGGGGGCAGAGGGGCTGGGGCATCCCTTGGCACCACAGCACAGCCCAAATCCCTGGGTGTGAGCTTTGTTTTGCATAGCACTTTGTAATGCTCTTGGCTGAGTTGGCTGCAGCTCCACAAAGCATTTTTTTTTTCCTCTTGGTTCAACGCTCGCTTGGATTTAATGGGCCAGGAGCCAAATCAGTAATGGAAGCCAAGTGCCGACGTTTGTTTGGTGTGCAATTCCCGACGAGGAATATGTATAGTAATTGTCTCATGCTCCTCAAAGCTGTAACTTTGGCAGAGGGGAGGCTGCAGGGAGCGTGCCAAGTGTTTAAAATCATAATCAGGCAGTGATGAAAACATGTATTTATGGCTATAATGAGTTGCATCAAAGCAAGAAACGTTCGGCTTCTCTGTAGAGGGAACGCTGTCTCTTAATTCAGAAATGCCTTCGAAATCACCCAGAATGTGTCAGAGTTAAAGAGCTCAGAGAGCTCGGCTGAAATGCCTGGCTTACTTCACAGCAATATTCCTGATACTCCCTTCCAGCTGCAGTTCTAGCTGTGGTTATTGGGCTCTGCATCGAGGCACGGCGGAGGAATCAACATTTATTGCAGTGTTTTATGCACTACGGGCACATCGTGAGAGTTCTGTAACCCTGGACTTGCAGCTTCATTTGTGTTTGTTTGTTGAGTGCTTTGTTTCATTCTACTTTGCAGTATTCAGAGTGGATATTGGGCAAGGTCCTTCCCCCAGAGGGTGCTGGCACTGCCCAGGCTCCCCAGGGAATGGTCCCGGCCTCGAGGCTGCCAGAGCTCCAGGAGGGTTTGGACAGCACTGCCAGGGATGAACAGGGTGGGATTGTTGGGGGTCTGGGCAGGGCCAGGGGCTGGATCAATGATCCTTGTGAGTCCCTTCCAACTCAGGATATGTCCTGATTCTGATGCCAAGAACTTGTTTGGTTTTGGGGTTGCTTTAATATCTGAGTGTTGTGTGATTGCTGCGTGCAGCAAAGGTTTGGGATGCAGCAGTGCAACAATGCATCTCAGGAGCTGGGAGCCATCTGGAAGTACTCCTGAATCCTTTCAGTGGGAAAAGCCCTCTAAGGTCAGCGAGTCCAACCATTAACCCACCTGCTGATGCCAGTGCCCTGGAGCCCACCCTTATCCCAGCATCCCTGTGCCTTTGGAGCAGGAAGAAACTCAGTGCTGTGAAAAAATGGAAAAAATGCAATTCATAAACATTTGGCTTTTGAGTAACTTCCTCCTGCCTGGCGTTGAGTCACCGCTCCCTGCCCGTGGGAAGCCGTGTGGCTGTCACCCTGTGCCGAGGTGGCACGCTGGGCAAGGTGCTCCACAGGGCTCCTGGCTGCCATCCCAAATGGCTCCAGAGCTGCTGGGATGATCCTGCTGTGCCCAAATTACAAGGGAGCCAGGGCTGAATCATCTGGGTGTAGCAGTGCGGGGCTGGGGGCAGCCAGGAGCCATGGCTGGGAGGGTGAAGCTCACTCTGGGGTTGTTGTCCTTGGAATATTGGGAGTTTGTAGGGTGCTGTTGTTGCTGCTGGAATTTTTGGGGTGGCTGGATGATCAGAATGAGGATGGTGACAACATGAAAATCACCTTCGGCGGAGTCCCGCTTCCCATGCCGCTCACTGCCCGGGAGGAAAATCTTCCTGCCTGAGGAGATGTGTGGTCTTGCATGGTGCAAATCCCCATAGTAAATCCTGCCTTGCCCTGCAGGACCACAAGGTTTGGGATTAGTTTATCCATCCAGGTTTCTCTGGGCACATACTTTCTGTGTGGATTTGCTTGAATGAGCACAGGGAAAAGAAAAGATTTCAGTAAATCAGGCTGATTTTGTGTGACCAAGGTATCTGAGACTGAACCAGCAGATCCCAGCTCTTCAATTAATCCTAATTTGATCCCACTACAAAGTCAGTAATACATCTGTGGATGTAATAAACTTAATTACTTGACTGTGAGATCAAAGAGCTGTGAAGGAGCAGCACTGGGTGCATTTGTTTTAAATTGCCTTCAAAGAGTCGAGCGGGGAGCTGCGAGTTTTGGTGGGGAAGCCGCTGTATCAGATGTCTGCAGATGCTACAAGTGTGGTTCTCTTGCGTTGCCAGCTCCCAGCCCCACGACAGCCGTTCCCTACATGTCAGTGAAGTGCATTGACGTGAGGAAGAACCACCACAAAACCAAGTGGCTGATGCCCTGGGGACCCAACCACTGCAAGAAGCTGAAGGACTTTGACGAGGCCGTGAGCCGGCAGATCGAGGCCAACGACATCGTGTTCGCCGTGCACATCCCGCTGCCCAGCAAGGAGATGAGCCCCTGGTTCCAGTTCATGCTCTTCATCATGCAGCTGGACATCGCCTTCAAGATGGACAACGACCTCAGTAAGTGACTGGCAGAGGGAGCTGCTGCCTGGCTCTCTTTTCCCAGAGTGCCTCCCCTAAAGGGGTTTTTACTGCGTGCCGTGAGTTGTGTTGGTGCCACACAGTGACACCAACACTTCCTGAATCTGGGAACTGGTGATCCTGGGATGGTTTGGGTTGGGAGGGACCTCAGAGCCCATGCAGTGCCACCCCTGCCATGGGCAGGGACACCTTCTAATGTCCCAGGCTGCTCCAACACACCCTTGGACACTGAAGGCATCCAGGGACAGCCACAGCTGTCCAGCCAGGAGTTCCTTCCCAATATCTAACTCACAGCCAGGAGTTCCTTCCCAACATCTAACTTTAATTTCCCTTCTCTCTGTTTGAAGCTATTATATAAATACTAAATAAATATATAACACCCTCCCCGACACACACAAAACACACAACTCTTCTGAAACTCAGAAAAAATCCTGCACTAAATCCTGCAAAATTATGCTGGGGGCAGCAAGGGCAGGACTGCTCTGGCCCTCCCTGGAAGGGAAGTTGTCCATGTGTTTGCATGTTTTAAAGTGTCTGGGGGAAATCCCTCTCTAACTGTAAGCTACAGTGAATAAACAATTTTCTTTCCAGACTGGTTGGGCCGGGTGTGTGGAGCTGCTGCCCTGGCTCCAGCCTGGCTGTGGGGCAGGCTCCATGCTGGAGCTGTGGGGTGGAATCAGTTCAAGGAGTTAGTTGGGGTTAGGAGCTTTTTTAGCCATCTTTGTGTACTTGACCCCTTCCTGCTCAGCGTGGAACTGTTCCTCCAGTTATTTATCCCAAAATCCCGGACTGGTTTGGGTTGGGAAGGACCTCAGAGCTCCAGTCCCACCCCCACCGTGGGCAGAGACACCTCCCACTATCCCAGGCTGCTCCAAGCCCTGTCCAACCTTCAGCACCTGCAGAGATGGAGCAGGGATGATTTAATGCATTATCATGAAGATAAGTTAGAAATGAGGTTGTAGAAAGCTTTCACCTCTGTTCTTATCCCTGTAATTATCTCTGAAATACAGAGAAAGCAGCTTTGTGCCTTTATTAAGGCCTCACCTCCTTCCACTTGGGCAGATGATTGCATTAGGGAAACAGCTGTTTATCCTGAGGATTTTCAAGCTGAACCACCATGCTGGAGTCAGGAGCTGGCTGAGCCCTTGGAGCAGGCTGCTGGAATGCTAACCCAGCCTCTGGCAGCATTTCTGCTGCAAGAGCAGAGCCTTTGCTTCAGCTTTGTGCCCTTCAGCCACTGAGTCCTGCACAGGTGGGAGGGTTTGTTTGAAATCTCAAAGCAGAACAGCTCATCTAGGGCCATCCTCTGGGTAATAAAAAGAAGCTTTGGGGATTGTCCAACACTTTGTACCAAGCTGAAGGCAGGTGTAGATTAAGTGTAGAATCTCAGGAACTAGCAACACGTTTCTTGCTTGCTAGATTGTGTTGTAACAGCTCTTACAGAAATAGCCAGCAGACTTGTTAAGCTAATTTCATTGCATGTGTGTGTCTGTCCCCTGCTGTTAAATGTAAAGGCCTCATTGATCAGGTGACTGTCGTCAGCTCCTTGAAAGGGACAGCAATAAGAAAGTGAAATAACCTCAGTTCTTTCTTTAAAGCAACAATTCAAGTTTCTTCTCCCTGGGGCTCTGAGCCCTCCAGGCCTCCTCCTGCTGTGGCCGATGCCAGCAGGGGCTGGTGCCAAACCAGGGTCACTCCTGGAAGGCACCACAGCTGCTGAAGCCTCTGGTCATTGTCCTGAAAACTGTCTTGGAGCTGCCCCAGATCATCCAGGAAAGCAGCGCTGCTGGGAGCTGCACAGGATTTATCCTCCTGGAGAAGCTGCTGCCTGGGGCTCATCCTGCTCTCCTGGCTCCTGTAGCTCCACTGCAGGCTCTGAAGGTGCTGTGCAGGGTCCTGGGCTCTGCCAGTTCCCCTGGGCCTTCACCAGGGAGGTTTCTGAGCCACATCAAACTGTCTCCTGCTTTTTTCCTCCAAGGCCCTTGATTGTCCTCTTCTCCTGCAATTCCTAAGCAAGGCCAAGGCACAGAGTAAACCTGCATTCAGTTTTGTCAGGGTGCTGGGTGCCCAAACCCTCCTGGGGCAGGGGCAGCTGGACTGTGCCTTTGGGAAATGTTGGTGACTCATGGTGCTGACTCCTCATCCACAGAGAGCTGGAGTCAGTCCTGTGTCAGCTCTCCCCATCCAGAACCTGTGTCAGCTCTTCTTGTCCAGGACTTGTCAGCTCTTCTCATCCAGCCAGAAAGGGTTTTTTTGGGACAGCTCTGGTAAGGTGCCCTGAGAGAGCCTGGCGGGGCCTGAGCCTCCTGAAATACCCCGGGGGATTTCACTTTTCAGAGGAACAACCAGCCCTAATCACCTGCACCTTGGGAACGCCCTCTGGACTTCCAGTGGTTTTGAAACACAGATTTTTCAGAATGCAGAGGTTTAGAAGCTGAGTTTATCTTCCCCAGAAAGCTGAGAGAGATTCAGGCTGTTCCTCTGAGGAAGAGGCTATTTCTGTGCTGTCCCTTTCCTTTCTTGATGCATTGTGCACTCAATTATTAAAACCCCTTCCCAGAACTGGGAAAGGAGGGGCCCAGAGGAAGGAGATGGAGTTTCTTTGCAGCTGGAAAGCAACTGTGTACAGTGAGAGGGCAGAGTGCTGCAGCCTCCTTTTCTAATTCATCCAGCCTTGGGCTTTTTAGTAGGTTTTGTAATTTTAGGGAGCTGGTGAAGGATGGAAGTGTAATGGAAATAATTCCAGCTTTTTTGCTTGCCTGCCATAGGCTTCTCCCCAGCCAGCTGAGTTAGTGTGCAGCTGGCACAGAGCCCCCTCCTGAAACAACTCCACTATTTTTAGGCCATTGTAATGTAAGTGAAGATATCCTGGGCAAGTATTGTCCTATAAAGTGATTCATGGAAAAGCTCCTGGGCAGTAAAATGCCAGTGGGAAAAATGACACTGGTGGTGTTTGGAGCATGAGCAGGGAGTCCCTCACTTGGGAGGGTCACAGAGCTCAGGGCTGGGAGACCTCCAGGAGTGTGTCTTGTCCTCATTTGGGTTGGAAGGACCTCGAAGCCCACCCAGTGCCACCCTGCCATGGCAGGGACACCTCCCACTGTCCCAGGTGCTCCAGCCCCAGTGTCCAGCCTGGCCTTGGGCACTGCCAGGGATCCAGGGGCAGCCACAGTGCCAGGGCCTGCCCACCCTGCCAGGGAGGGATTTATCCCTGATAAATTTGATCCTCCTCCCTCTCAGTTTAATGCTGTGCAGGAAAAGGACACTCTCCCCTCCCCAGAAAATTGTCTATTCACCATCTGATTAATGGGAATAAGGCACCAATCTTCTGAAGATTTGGTTCTCTGTCACTGTCCTCGTTTGTTCCTCAGGGACAATGGGAGTTGCTGATGGAAGGCTGGCGTAGGATTATCATGGAATCAGTTAGGTTGGAAAAGACCTCTAAGATGGAGTCCAACCACTAACACAGCTCTGCCATCAGTCTGCTGTGCTGAAATATATGGATATATGGATATATCTGTATTTTATGTTGACAGCCCTGAAGGGTCTTTGCACAAAACTCATTTCCAAGGGGAGGTGTCACCCCAGCAGAGAGACTGATGGAATTCCAGAGGGAGCCTCTAATCCATTGGCCTGGAACAGCACGCAGCAGTTCATCTTCTGCCTGCTGGTTTTCATACTCCATGGCAGCAGCAACATTTGGACTGCAAAGATGAAATACTGAAAGCTGTTTTTCTTGGATTTAATCCCAAGCATTCCAGTTGGTTTTATGGCTTCTGAAATGGAGTTCATGGTTCTTTTTAGCCGGGCCAAGTTCAACCTTATGTTCCCATTTATCTGTTTTGCTGGTCTCCTAAACAGCGGATCTGAGATGGCAAATTCGTGTTTCATGGAAACCCAACTCCTGGCAGCTCTGGAAAGGGACTGCATATGGATCTGGATGGTACAGATCACATGCACCAGAAAATGCTCAGAAAAATCCTGAAGTGTCCACATCAGATGCACAACCCAGCCACCTCCAAAGGGTGTAAAAATAGAACGGCCAACCACAGATCCCATCCACGCCCCTTCCCATCCGGTGGGATGAGTGTGCCACCACGTATTCCCAACAAAAACATAGCTGAAAAGATGGGTTCTGGAGCCATCTCCCAGTGCTTCTCCACAGTGGATGGTTCTGGAGCCATCTCCCCACACTTCATGGTGGAAGGTTCTGGAGCCATCTCCCAACACTCCTCCACAGTGGATGGTCCTAGAGCTTTTCCAGCAGCTGTGGCTGTTAAGGGTTTGGTGCCCTGCAAAAGGAGGCTGGGCTGTAAGATGCACATGCTCATTTTGGAGCGTGTTCCTCGTTCAGAGCCTTCCCTGGGATCTGTGCCTGGTAAACAGGAGGATTTTCCAGCTGGTGGAGCTGGTACAGACTTGCCTCAAGTTTTTAAACGTGTTGCTGCTCCTTGGCAGCCTCAGCTGCTGCTCCAGTGCATGAACTCGCTCGGTTCTGGCTCCTCAGTGAGCCTGTTCCAGCCTGAACGAGCCTGATCCAGCCTCAGTCCCTCCTGGCAGCAAGGACCCCCTGGCAGTGTCCTGCCAGGAGCACCTTTCCCAGCAGCTGTATCCCAGACTGTCACTGTGCACACGTCCAGGAGGGACGAGCTGCTGGTCCCACAGGATGTGTGACCTTGCCAGGCCATGAGCTCCGTGTGTGTCATGTGTGTCGCTGGCATGCGAGCTGCAGAGGCAGGAACAAGTCAGGGCAGGCATGGAGGAGCAGGGGAGGGCTCTAAAATGTTCTCTAGGTGAGGAAGGGAGAGCTCCAAACCCTTCTGTAGAACAACTGAGGCTAAACAAGACACATAGAAAACATCAATGCTGTTGTGTGTGGCTGGTTCTGAGTTTTTTTCCCAGCTAGGCCATCACAGCTCAGCTTCAGTTTGTTCATTACCTTCATAAAGGAACTTGGTGTCGTGTTTTTTAATTACTCTGGGAACCTTCTGAGCCTCCTGTCTCCTTGCTGTTGCAGAGGAAAACGCAGAGATCACCCTGGATGTGTCGCTGGCCTATCGTGACGACATGTTCGATGACTGGGAGGAAATAGCACACGCCATAGAGATCAGGAAGCTGAAGTGCACCTTTGGCTCTCCAAAAGTAAGGAATATGAATGACACCGGGGGTGGGGATGAGTGGGAGCTGTCCTCTTCCAATCACAGAACCACAGAATTGCCCTTTCCATGAAAAAATTTTCCCCAATATCCAACTTTAACCTCCCCTAGCACGACATGAGACCGTTTTCTCTTTGTCCTGTCACTTTTTTTTTGGGAGACAAGGCCAATCCCCACCTGGTTTCCACCTCCTGTTAGGGTTCATCTTGGAAAGCTCCCATTTAAAGCCTGAAATGTGAACCTGTCTGAGGTCACACCCTACCTAGCCAGTGATCCCAGACAATCCAAACCTTGAGGAGAAGTGTCCCTCGGGCACTGTCTCACTCCCAGGCCCTGGGTGCTGGCGGTGCTCCCAGCTGGAGGGCTCTGTGCTGAGTGGTTCTGCTGCTGCCCTTGCAGACGGTGGAGTCCGAGGGCCGTCACTACGACTGCGACTTCCTGCCCTTCATGGAGATCGGCAGCGTGGCACACAAGTACTACCTCATCAACATCCGCCTGCCCGTCAACGACAGGAAGGGCATCAACGTGGGCATCGGCGAGATCAAGGACATCCGCCTCGTGGTGAGCGCCCTGGCCTCCTCTGCCACCTGTGCCCGGGCTGCTGCAGCTCCTGCCCCAGCTCCTCTGCCTCCAGGGGGACTGTCCTCCTCCCTGGGAATGCCCTGCTCTTCTCAGGAGCGCTCCCTAGGCCTCCTCCTCTTCCCAAGGCTCCGAGCTCCCTGTGTCCTCTGCTTCCCACCCCAGCCTGCCTGGGATGCAGAGTCCTCCTTACGGACAGGAGCTGAGGAGGAACAGGAGGGTTCAGAGGGGGCCTGGTCTGCCCTGGAGTTGGCTGTGGCCATGTGTGGGAAGGCTGTCAGTGATCCTTGCTCTGCCTGCCCTCGAGGCTGGGTGAGCAGGGATGCTTTTCCCAGCTGGAGCCCTCCCACCACGGCTGCGGTGGCTGCAGACAGCGGTGGGAGGACGCGTGGCTGGAGAAACACGTTAATGAGCCAATGCTCTTCCCACCAGGGGCGACTTGGCTCCATGAGGATCTCGTTACTTGTCTGGGAGTTATTCTGCCAGCTTTTTCCATGCTGTGTCAGAATTCCCTCTCTCCCTCACCATGGAAGCTGTGTCTGCTGGCATTTGTTCTCAGACCTTCTGGAACCTGCCCAGGTGGCCTGGGGGCTCAGTGGGCACCCGTTCTCTGTCCATCACTGGCCAAACCATCCTTGGGATGCACTTACACCTCTGTGCCTCTCCTGACACTCCATGAGGAGAAGCACAGGGCGATGATGTCCAACCCTGTGCTCTGGTTTTCCTCAGGGCATCCATCAAAACGGAGGCTTCACCAAGGTGTGGTTTGCCATGAAGACCTTCCTGACGCCCAGCATTCTGATCATCATGGTGTGGTACTGGTGGAGGATCACGCTGATGACACGTGCCCCTGTCCTGCTGGAGAAGTGAGTAGGGGCCCGTGGTGGCCCAGGGGACCCACTGAGGTGGTCATTGCTCCCAGGCAGAGCCCATGGCTGGGAGATAGGAATTGTCTCTTCTCCATCCCCTCCCTCCACTCAGGTACCCTGGGAGCTGGAGACCTCCACAGCTTCTCTTTCCTTTCCTGTTAAACCCCTGGAGAAAAAGGAGCTGCTCTGAGGAGCTCAGTCCTAGCGGGTTTGGTGGCAGGAGGTGACGCTTCCCAAAAAGTGCTGGATTTCCTTCTGTTGCTCTCCACGCACAGCTTTGGCTTTTGGGGCTCTGTCCTTCCCTCTCACACTGGGATGTGCAGAGGTGGTGTTTGTGCCTCTGCAGGGTCATCTTTGCTCTGGGAATTTCCATGACGTTCATTAACATCCCTGTGGAGTGGTTTTCCATCGGGTTTGACTGGACTTGGATGCTGCTCTTCGGAGACATTCGACAGGGCATCTTTTATGCCATGCTGCTCTCGTTTTGGATCATCTTCTGCGGGGAGCACATGATGGTGGGTGCCACCCCTGTGGGAAGGTGATTTCCAGCCCTGCTTCCAGGAGAACCTGGCAGCTGATGGTTGGAAATGATGCTGGGGGGATTTCAGGCTAACTTGCTTTTCCTTTTTCTCTGCCTCCCCACCTGGTGACCAGGACCAGAACGAGCGGAATCGGCTCTCGGGCTACTGGAAGCAGGTTGGGCCCATTGCTGTGGGCTCCTTCTGCCTCTTCATCTTCGACATGTGTGAGAGGTGGGTGCAGCTGCGCTGCCCAGGCCCGGCCATCCCAGAGCAGGGGCTCCTGGCCACCTCCTGCAGCAGGGACCAGCAGTTCAACCCCATGGCTGGGTGCACAGCCCCATCTCCCAGAGCCAGGGGAGGCTCCTGCGGGTGTTCCCAAGTGTGCTGGCTGTGGAAACACTGCCCACCTCACCTTCTCCTCACCCGCGTGGGAAAGCAGCACAGCTGCTTTCTGCTTTTCCCCTGCAGAACCTTGGGAAAAGGTTCTTCCCTCAGAGGGTGCTGGGCAGTGCACAGATCCCCAGGGAATGGGCACGGCCCCGAGGCTGCCAGAGCTCCAGGAGGACTGGGACAATGCTCTCAGCCACAGGGTGGGATTGTTGGGGTGTCTGTGCAGGGCAGGAGCTGGATCAGTGATTCCTGTGGGTCCTTCCCACTCAGGATGTTCCCTGATCCTGTGCTTCCCAGGCTGCAGAGTGGACAAGGGGCCCTCTGAGCCCTCTGACAGTTGGTGTTTTCTCTCCTCTCTGCAGGGGAGTGCAGCTCAAGAACCCCTTCTACAGCATCTGGACCACCGAGGTGGGCACGGAGCTGGCTGTATCCTTCCCCTGGTTTGTGGGAGAGGGAGGTGCTCCCTCCTGCCAGGTCCCTGGGAGGTGTGGGCAAACTCCCTGCTCTTGGGGGGCAGGGGGTGGCTCAGGCACTGCAGGAGGTCACTGGGGAGCTGCATATGGGAATCACCTGGGTAATGTTTTTCTAGGATTTCCTGTTAGTTTGTGCCATTTTCCATTAACTTCCTCTGCACAGATGGCCTTTATTATAGTTGCAGGGATCTGCCTGTGCCTCTATTTTCTCTTCCTGTGTTTCATGGTCTTCCAAGTGTTCAGAAACATCAGTGGGAAGCAGTCGAGCCTCCCTGCCATGAGCAAGGCTCGCCGCCTTCACTACGAGGTAAGGTCCTCCTTGGGGCACAGATTCCTTGTTTTTAAAAGATATTTCGGACCTCAGAGTCTGTTCTGAGACCTCTTTTATCCATAATCTCCTCATACTTCCATTTCTCCTCCTCTAATATTAACTTTTGTGTTTAATGGGAGGTCTTGCTAAGACCATCTGGTTTTTCACAGTATAAATTTGGATTTTTGGGGTCATCATTTCCTTACGAAGTTGCTGGAGGGTCAAAGCACATTCCCCCCATCATCCCCACTTTTAGCCCATGATTTTGTATGTTTTTCTGTCCTACCTGAATTGCCTGCTGCCAAACCTGAGGAGCTCACTCTCAGTGTTTAAACTGCTTCTACAGGGGTGCAAATAGTTATCCCCAAAGTCATTCTGTCAAATTATGAACAAGTCATTATCACTCATCAGGAATGCACATAAAAATTTAGAAAACTGGACTTGAAAGAATTTGAAGCAGATACTGAGTGTTTTTCCCTCTAGCAGGAGGCACAGGGGTTCAGCTTGTGGTGCAGAGCTGCTCCTGCCACACTCCACATCCAAACATCTGGAGAGCACAGATCTGGTGTGGAAGAGTTAAATTAATAGTCCTTTGTTGTCGTGGTGTGGCAGGGTAATTACGCAGACACTGACATTTCCACCTAAATTCCAGAACCAGGTTAAAAAAACCCACGCACTCACCCAAAACCAAAAGAATTTGTAAGTAAAAATGTGGAACCAGTGAAAGCAGGGGTGGTGGGCAGTGGGATTGCCAGCGAGGGGTTTGTCTCGGAATCTCCATTCTGTGCTGGCCAGCCGGGTTTTGCCGACACTGGAATCGCTGCAGTTCCCTCCCAGCCGGGCTGGGGGCGAGGATTGAGGATGAGTGTGGTGAGACCCACGCTGGGGCACCGACCCCACCGCGTGTTTGTTTTACAAGAGCTCTGAGCTGTCGGGGCCGTCCCCCGACGTGCCACCTCTTCCACTTAATTAACTGCTGCTCAATCAGTCACCGGGCAAATGTCATGGAAAGGCAGCGCTGTCCAGACGTGCCCACCCCGCGTGGAGCTTCCGGCAGGAGCGCAGACGTGTGGGGAGCGGAGGATATGGGCTGTGCTGAGCACGGCACAGGAGTGGGTGGAGGTTGTTTTGCTTTGGGGTTTCGTGGGTTGGACCCTTGTTTTATTTTTTATTTTTTATCCTCGTGTCTTGTCTATCCTAAAACCAAAAATGGGTTTTGTGGATTCTGTTAATGTGACCAGTGACATTTCTCTCTAAACAGGGGCTGATTTTTAGGTTCAAGTTCCTGATGCTCATCACCCTGGCCTGTGCAGCCATGACCGTCATCTTCTTCATCGTGAGCCAGGTGAGGGGCGGCTCTGGGCTCCCCGGGAGAGCATCAGCCGCCGCTTCCCAGCCGCTGCCGACGCCGCTCATGGCTGGTCAGACGGGACTGGCCTGTTCTGAGCACGTTTGATAACAAGTTGCTTTTGAAGAAGTTGTTTTGGTTTGTTTGAAGCTCTGCCATGCCGTTGCTGAGGCTGGAGCCGGCACAAAGGCCCTTGGCTCCCGGGGAGCGCTGGGGCCGCGCCGTGCGGGAATCGGCCAGCAGGCTTTAGTCATTTCTGAGAACTCGGCGAGAGGAAAATGTTCTGTTCACACCGAAACACTCGGGTGGCTTTGTGTGCCCACGGAGACGTGAGAGCATCCAACCTTCCCTGGGCTGACTGCAGCCCTGCTGTGCCCAGCAGTAGCTGTACCTGTTTGTCCTGAGCTCCGATGTCACCTCTGTACGAATGAGCTTTTATCGCTGCTTGAATCATGGAGTCACAGACTGGCTTGGGCTGGCAGGGACCTTAAAGCCCATCTCATGGGCTGAGGCACCTCCCACTGTCCCAGGTGCTTCCAGCCCCAATGTCCAGCCTGGTCTTGGGCACTGCCAGGGATCCAGGGGCAGCCACAGCTGCTCTGGGCACCCATGCCAGGGCCTGCCCACCCTGCCAGGGAACAATTCCTTTCAATATCCCATCCATCCCTGCCCTCTGGCAGTGGGAAGCCATTCCCTGTGTCCTGTCCCTCCAGGCCTTGTCCCCAGTCCCTCTCCAGCTCTCCTGGAGCCCCTTCAGGCCCTGGCAGGGGCTCTGAGCTCTCCCTGGATCTTTTGCTTCTCCAGGTGAACACGCCCAGCTCTCCCAGGCTGGCTCCATGGCAGAGGGATTCCAACCCTCAGAGCATCTCCATGGCTCTATTTTTAAGCTACTGTAGTTTTCCTCTTGGCCTTTATGTTGTTCTTTAACAGAAAACAACATTGCAGCCTAAGCAGTCTGTGTATCTTCAAGGAATATTAATATTGATGATATTTTCATGGATGTTGACAGCCCTCAGCGTGTGGCAGGTTGGTGCTGTCAGCCTGGCCCCTCCTCAACCAGCCATGCTCAGCACATCAATTCCCCCATTATTCACGCTGGTTTTCCTGCTATAAAAGGTCTATTTTTAGCAGGTGGATGTTTTGAGATGTCAGTCCCCAGGTAGTGCCCTTGGTGTGCCAATCTGTGCTGAGCACATGCTTGTGGTGGGGGAATCGCAGAGCGCAGCGCTTTGGTCGCAGTAAATGAGACATCAGAGCTGCAGAAGTCCTGAGGGAATCACTTTGTCAGGAGCATTTTGTCCCTGCAGACTGAGCCTGAAGAGGAGAATCCCAGCCTGACTTCTGCCTCACTGAACCTGTTACACTCCATTTCCTCCGTCCTGTTGAATTGGTGCTGTTCTCACTGATGTGCTCCAAGGCTGTGTCTTTAGGGAATTTGCTGTTCCTGATGGCCCGTCCGTGTCCGTTTTCCCTGGACAGGTGACAGAAGGCCACTGGAAGTGGGGGGACATGACAATCCAGGTGAACAGCGCCTTCTTCACCGGCATCTACGGCATGTGGAACCTGTACGTGTTTGCCCTCATGTTCCTGTACGCGCCGTCCCACAAGAACTACGGCGACGACCAGTCCAATGGTAAATGTCCCCACGTGACCCGAGGGCTCTCATGGGGACACAGAGGTACCAAGTAGGGGGTGCCTTCTGGGCCTTTTTTTTTTTTTTTTTGGCCCAAGTGCACACTCAGCGCCTTGAAAAGTTTTGCAAATGATGGTTTGGGTTTCCAAGCAGGCATTTGAATTAATGGCTGGGTTAGACAGGTTTGACTTTTAGCCAAGGCCGGCTGGAGCCTTCGGGGTGGTTTTTGTGCCTTTTAGCGTTGCCCAGATGGAACTGTGTAGCTCAGATGGAGGGATGAGGAGTGGAGAAAATAGACCCTCCTGTCAGGGAGTTGAGGAGAGCCAGATGGTTCTGCCTGAGCCTCCTTTTCTCCAGGCCGAGCCCCTTCCCAGCTCCCTCAGCCACTCCTGGGGCTCCAGCCCCTTCCCCAGCTCCGTTCCCTTCTCTGGACATGCTACGGCCCCTCAAATGTGTTTCTTGTGCTTCTATTTAAGTAACTGTAAATAAAACAATTTATAGGAAAGTCGCTGGTCCGTGGCTTAGGCATCTTAGCAGCTGGAGGGAATAAAGTGGATCTTTTCCTTTGGAATAGTCCCACATTTTACTGCGAGACGGCACTGATGGAACACCTTTGTTTCTCAGGTGACCTGGGGGTGAACAGCGGGGAGGAGCTGCAGCTCACCACCACCATCACCCACGTGGACGGGCCCACGGAGGTGTACAAGCTGGCTCGGAAGGAGGCTCAGGAGTGACACGGAGGTGCCTCAGCAGGGACCGGCCTGGGGTGGGGAGCAGAGGACACACGAGTCCCTCTGGCTGGAGACCCCTCCGGCCGCATCCGCTCCTCGAGCACCCCGTCCCTGGTGCGTTCACAGAGCAGCGACAGCGAGCGGAACATTTGTAACTCTTTACTATGGTGTAGTTATTCCTGGGGGGAGGGCTGTGTATATTGTGTTACACTCGGGCACGTAAACCCTGCTGGAAGGGCACTGAGGTTGCAAAGTCGCAGGTCCGGACGTGGGGCTGGGGCAGAGCTGCAGTGGGGCTGGTTTGATTTTGCTGGGTGTGCTGGTGCATAAAGCTGCTGCAGGGAGCTCGGGCAGGAGCACGTGCTCAGAACTCCGGGTTTGCTCCTGTGTGCAACTGGATTTTGCTGGTGCATAAAGCTGCTGCAGGGAGCTCAGGCAGGAGCACGTGCTCAGAACTCCGGGTTTGCTCTGTGTGCAACTTACACAAGGTGTTGGTTGTGGGGGGGAGCCTTGTTGTAAAAGCATTTAATTCCACCACTGCAGCTGTACTGACCCTTGTCTGAGTCTTTGGGGCAGCCCTGCAGCCGCCCTCTGTCGCTGGATGAAGCACAGCTGGCAGAGGAGTAGGCTGTTAGTAAGGCTTTAGTAGAAGCAGCAACTGCTTTCTCAGCAGCTTTTACAGCTGTTTGCTGGATACAGGGAATGGCCAGCCTGGGTGCTGAGCTGAGTTGCAGGAGAACAGAGCACTCCTGACCCAAGTTTCCAGCTGGCTGATTCCACAGCCCGCTCCTCCCTGTTCTCACTCCCTTTGGCTTCCCCTGCTTTTGTGGCTTCCTCCACCTTCCCTTTTGTTACAGTGCATCCCTGGAGCTGGGCAGTCTCGCTCTGTGCGCTGCCAGGCTGGAGCAGAGCTGGATTCTTCCAGGGATTATCGGACTTGAAAGGATCCGCTGGTCACGCACTAACGTGGACCTTGCTTTCCCAGAGCAGACGCAGCACCGGGCTCAGCCCCGTGCTGGGAGGCCTTTGGCAAAGAGAGGGGAGTGGGAACTGATCCGGGGTGGAGGCTTGACCTGAACCCTGCTGGGCCCAGTTCAGAGAAGTGAACGGTGGGGAAGGGTCTGTGCTGCTCGGGGCACACCTTCCATGGCCTGGAGCGTCCAGAGAGCCTCACGAGCAGGCAGGAGCAGGAGTCTGTGTTAACGTGTAACTCGCCCTACACCCTCCCAGTTCCGGCCTACAAGATAAGAATCTGCTGCTGCTGTGTTAAAGCGTTATAGGGGAGGCAGAGAGGGGAAACTCATTCCTGTCAGCCCAGGTACCATCACAATTCCAGGTACCATAACAATTCCCACCCCAGAATTTATACATTTGCCCTCATCCTTTTATTAAAGCTCAGTACTATGAACAAAGAGAGGGTGGCACCACAAGATCACCTTGCATGGGTTTGATGGCTGGGCACCATCACCTGGGGCTCCTCCAGTCAGGATGTGTCACACCAGGCAGACCCCTCTGCCAAAGGCCTGCTCCCCGTGTATTAATTGCAGCTCCCACTGGATTTTCTTAAAGCAATTCTGTTTGTTGTGTTTGCCCTCCCCGGGATGCCCAACTTCCCCTGCCCCTGGAGGCAGAGCAGCTCCAAGCAGTGTTCCTACTGCAGTAGCTACTCCATGGAAGTGAATTAAATCGACGCACGTCCCTGTAACCCCGGAACGTTCCCAGCTGAACGCTCGACTTTGCAACTTTGCCATCCCTTTTCCCTTGGGTTCTTACGTGATATTTATGTTGTTCCCATAGCTGTGTCCGTGGGTTCTTTTCCAGCTTAGACTATAGCATTGCGTTTTGTAAAGGCCCCCCAGGAACGGGGAGCTGCAGCTTTCAAACCAAATTCTGTGTCAAACACTAACAATTTGTTTACGGGGCGCGTGTGCGTGCGTGTGTGGGTTTTTTATTTCTTCATTCCTCAGCCCAACTCATATGTCTCTGAAATAGTCCCTGGGTCTTATTAAAATATATCCTTTTTTTTTGTTTGTTTAGGTTGAGTTCAGTTTTTACAGAATGCTTTAAGCAACCTGGAAAACATGTAGTTTTGTTAATTTAAATAAAATATACAATACTGTGGATTTGTCATTGGAATTTCTTCTCATCTCCAATCTCCTCTGGCAGTGGGAAGCCATTCCCCCTTGTCCTGTCCTTCCAGACCCTCATCCAAGTCCCTCTCCAGCTCTCCTGGAGCCCCTTTAATTACGGGAAGGGGCTCTTAAGATCTCCCCAGAGCCTTCTCTTCTCCAGGCTGAATAGCCCTGCAGGGTTTTCCTTCCCGTCCCTGCTAGCCAGCCCTGAAGTTGTCACAGCTGTGCTGAGACCTTTGTGTGTTTGCCATCACCTCACTGCAGTGTTGGTTTGGGCATCAGCCTCCATCTGCTGCCATATTTCGAGGTGCTGCTGCCCCCTGCTTGGAGCCTGCTCTCCCCATGTTGTCTTGCTGTCTATAATCCAGGGAAAATAAATTTTTAAAAAGTGTTGGTGCCTTCTCCAAGGGAACAAGTGACAGGACGACAGGAAACAGCCTCAGGTTGTGCCAGGGGAGGTTTAGACTGGATATTTGGGAAAATTTTTTCATGGAAAGAATTGTCCAGCCCTGGCACAGCTGCCCAGGGCAAGGGTGGAGTCCCCATCCCTGGAGAGGTTTGAAAGGCGTGTGGATGTGGCACTTGGGGACACGGGGCAGTGGTGGCCTTGGCAGTGCTGGGGGAATGACTGGACTCAGCGGTCTGAGAGGGCTTTTCCAACCTAAATAATGCCATAATTCTTTGACTTGCACTCAGGGAGTAGTGGAAAATTTGATGAAAACAGACGAAGTTCAGCATCAAGAGCCTGAAGACCCCTTGCAGGAGGGGCTGCCCGGGTACAACAGCACCTGAGAGGGTGTGAGCTTCAGGCAGAGCCCGTGGCTCCAGCCAGGCCACGGCAGCGCAGCTCTTTGGGACCTAAGGAGCGTCAAAAGAGCGAATAAATGAGATTTCAGTGCCTGTAGCACCGCCACCCGCTGGCACAAGCTGCTTTCCCGGGCGCATCCTGCCCTGGCAGGGCTCTGCTGCCACCTGCTGCCTCCAGAACCCGGCTCCGGGCTGGACCGAGCGCACACCAGCGATCCCTCGGCAAGGAAATCTGGGAATTTGGTGATGTCAGGGAGCCACAATCGCCTGCAAGGTGCTGCTGGGGGTCCGGGCTGTCCCTGGAGCTTGGTGTGTCGGGCCTGAGAACAGGCAGGGATGGGAAAAGCCGCCTGAGCCTGTCAGCACTGGAAAGGCAGAGGGAGCTGCCGGGGTTTAAACCCACTTCCAGCAGCCCCCAAACAATCCGTGTGTTGTGGGACACTCTCCCACCCCAAAGCCTGCAGCCCAAAGCTGTTTCCTGGGATTTTGTTAGGATGGCGGCGAAGGATGGGGTGCACTGCTGGGGACAGAAGGGCAGGAGACGGAGCTGCAGGAGAGCAGCTCCAGTTCTGCTTATAATGACAGTCACCTGCTCTCGACAGGACAGCGTCAGAGCACTTTTTGGGGTAAAATAAGCAGCAACAGATTTATTTTTGGAAGGTTTTGATCTGCGGTGGGCACATGGACGTGTCACGGGTCTGCTTCCCACTTAGCACCTGACACCACGCTGTGCAAGAGCTCTTAGAGTTCTTCCCTTGTCACAGCCTATTATAGGAAATCAATCCCAGCTTCAGGCTTTAGATCTGGAGGTTTAAATAAAACACCTCTTAGAAAGAGCCATTGGAAAGCTTGGAAAATATCTGAAAATGGGATAACTGAGCAAAAGTGGCTAGCACAGAGAGCGAATTAGCTACTCATTCCTAGCCAGCATTTCATTGTGGCTAATAAATACCTCATAAACACCAGGAATGAAGGTTTAGCAATACCCCATAAACACCAGAAATGACGGTTTGTAAATCTGCTCTGAAAATCCCCAATAATGATGGGATTCAGGCAAAGTGAATGGCTTGCAGGTTGAGCCTTGCCACAGGCAAGTCATCCTGCCTGGAGAGACAGGAACCGTAAAAGCAGATGTGAGATGAACAGGAATTTTTTACAGCAAAAGGAAGGTGAGGGGTGATTCCTGACCCTATGTTGACCCCACTAATGTTGATTAGTGGACTTTCACGGTTCTGCTTTATTCCCCTATTTTCATTAATATTATCATTATTAATTCAGACATTCAGACATTATTAATTCAGACTTTCAAAGCATCTCAGTACAAATGGATGCCTGGTTTTAAAGAGGCTATTTTGTTTTTAGGGTCTCAGGTTTAGTTCCCCTTGCATGGGGATGGATTTGGTCCAAGTTCTATCCCAGATATTTTGGCCTCATGTCACCATTGAAACATCTCTGGGATTTTTTTTTCTTTGTGTTAGACAAAAACCTCCACAGCAGTATGAAATGGATCTAAAGTGATACTTTGTGTTGGTCTGGGATAGAAGCATTACAAGGCTGATAGAAGTGGATTTATAATAGGAGAATACCACAGCGTTAGGAACACAACAAGGATCAGAGAAATAAGAAATGATAACCCGGAAAACCACAAATGGTTTGGGAAGAATGAGCTTGGGGAAGGACTGGGAAGTGTTCCTCCACAAATGCTGATTTCAGCACCATTATTGAGTTGTTTTTACGAATTTCTTCCTGATCTTGGGAGTTCTGCCAGATGTCCTTGTGGTCCATAAGTCCTGCATTCCCTGTGCCCACTATCAATGGTTCATCCTTCCCAAGCTTTGTTCAACTCCCCCAGGTCTGAGAGCACAGAAACGTGTCCGGTCCTAACCTTAACAATTCTATCAATCGTCTTTTGTCTACCAATTCTATCATTTGTTTTTTTCTATTACATGGCCATCACTTAGAGCTTTTTGACAGCTGTTTCACAGATTCAATCTCACTTTTTGTTGATTAGGCTTGAAAGTCTACAAAGATCAAACTTCAAAAAAAACCCCATCCTTTCTTAAGGAAATTTTACATATCCCACATTTTGCAACGCAGATGACCCACAAACAGAAACAATTCATAAAATTGCACTGATTTCAGACCGATCCCCTCAGACGCCGACGGCCATTTTGGGCCGTGAGGGCGGGCGGCGCCTGGGCGGGAAGGGGCGGGAAGGGGCCGTGAGGGCAGAGCCGAGCCCAGTCCGGGGCGGGAAGGGGCCGTGAGGGCAGAGCCGAGCCCAGTCCGGGGCGGGAAGGGCCGTGAGGGCAGAGCCGAGCCCAGTCCGGGGCGGGAAGGGAACGTGAGGGCAGAGCCGAGCCGAGCCCAGTCCGGGGCGGGAAGGGGCCGTGAGGGCAAAGCCGAGCCCACTCCGGGGCGGGAAGGGGCCGTGAGGGCAAAGCCGAGCCC